TTAATTCCCTTATGGGCCCGTTTTAGTTGATATTATTTCACATTACATGTCCCACTCCTTTCACCCTTATGTCCGCTCTAGGTTTTTTTAGTGTGTCGGAGGCCGCGTCCTGTGAACGTTGCCTATGCCTTGTTGATCTTTATTCTTGTTTTTTTCCATTAGTATAGGATTTATAGAGCGGACACGACATATTGTCTAATATTTGATTAATGTAAATTTGAAGACTTAAAAAGGGGCATAACTTTGTTAAAATACAATATTTTAATTGCTCTTACCCTGTTATGAAACTTGACCTGCATACCTATATTGTGCCACTTCATATATATTTTAAGTTTCAAGCAAATACCTTTTTCTAGTTTCAGAAATATTCAAATACATGTTAAAATTTAAGAACATTTTCTAAGTCAATTTTTGACCTTCAAGTGTGACCTTGACCTTAAGCCGGCCAAAGGGTAACATGGGTTCTGCACATTACCTTGTTGAGGTGAACATTTGAGCCAAGATTGAAGAAAATCTTTCAATTTGTGTAGGAATTACAGAACGGACACGACGTACTGTCTAATATTTGATTGTTTGATATTTGACCTTCAATTGTGACCTTGAACTTGAGCTGACACATGGGCAACATGGGTTCTGCACATTCCTTTGTGGAGGTGAACTTTTGAGCCAAGTTTGAAGAAAATCTTTCAATTAGTGTAGGACTTACAGAGCGGACACGACATACTGTCTAATATTTCATTGTTTGATATTTGACCTTCAATTGTGACCTTGACCTTAAGCTGACACATGGGCAACATGGGTTCTGCACATCCCCTTGTTGAGGTGAACATTTGAGCCATGTTTGAAGAAAATCCTTCAATTAGTGTAGGAGTTACAGAGAGCGGACACGACATACTGTCTAATATTTCATTGTTTGATATCTGACCTCAATTGTGACCTTGACCTTGAGCTAACATATGGGCAACATGGGTTCTGCACATCCCCTTGTTGAGGTGAACATTTGAGCCAAGTTTGAAGAAAATCCTTCAATTGGTATAGGATTTATAGAGCGGACACGAAAATGGAGACAGACGGACCAACCGACCGACCGACCGACGGACGGACGCGACAAAGCGAATCCATTATAGCCCCCCCCCCCCACATTTTGTGGTGGGGGTATAATAACATAAGAGAGAAGATGACCATTTCAAAATGCCCCTACCTGCTAAAACAAACCATTTATTTGTACAAATTTAGAGTTTTTGATGCATAGTTAGTATAATCGAAAAATAGAGTGAAATAAGAATCCCTAAAGAAAGCCCAACGCGGCAAAATTGAAAATGTTGCAGGCTCAGTTTGATTGAGCCTGTTCATTAACGGTACTGTCAAGTGCAAACTACTGTCCACGCCCCCTAGCACTGGCTTAAGCAGACATGAACTGGTAAAATTTAGAATTTTGAAACATCCGCAGATGTGTTCATATGGCGGTTATCATGGAACCTTCTATGTGACACGTTAGTGCCATTCCATGAAAAGCGGTATATGGTCCCCAAGTAAAAAAATGCGTGTGCCCTAAACGAGAAAATAATGGGCGGAACTAAATAAAATGGAATTATGAAAGGGGATCTGAGGTTATGAAGCCTGCATATCACAGATATAACGTCAACAGACAAATTTTAAAAAGCAGGCCTCATATCCTAAGGGTGATTCAACAGTATTCAAGTGAGAAATACTGGAACCACCCAACAAGAAAGATGCCGAATAGATAGAACTAAAATACCACAAGCGCAACAAAAATGTCGTGCTGAACGATCTTTAAGGATCGGAAATATAAGATCCCTGATTGAAGCCACAGGAAGGTCAAAATTGTATTGTATATCCAACATCATGGGGTATATCATTCTAAAAGCTACATGCCTCCAAATGAGTCAAAATGTTTCAATCAAATCAAACTTGAGAAAACTGTACTAAGATGTAAGGAAAAGTAAAAAGTTTCAAGATTCAAGTAATATTTTACATATTCTCTGCGATTGATGAGTGAATTGTCAGCATTTACAAGTATGTCGTTACTTCGTTACTAACGCAGTAAAGGCTATTAATGCATATTTTGACCATTTTTGGTAATTAACGCGGTTTTAAAGTGCCATGGATAATGTGTAAATTGCTTCCTTTTGGATACTTCACAATATTACACATTCAAATACATTTTCAAATTTTTCATGAAAAATAGCATGAATCTGGAGGCATGCTGCTTTAAAAGCGGGATAAGCTGCGTGAAGTATTCTTATGTTCTGCAAAGTATGGCGGTGCGTCGCTGAATGAACATCTCTGTACAGGTCCAGATCTGAGGAATGGTCCTGCAGGTGATCTGTATAGATTTAGAAGATAATCTGTGGCGATAATGTGTGGCGTCGAAAGAATATTTCATTAATTCTTCGTTGGTGAACGGAGGGCTCTTTTTATTTATAAGGATTTGGATTGAGGAATTGGTATTTTAATTGCAGTACAGAGCTAATATGGGTGAGTGGCAGAGGTATAGTTACAGAGCCTTTTTGCGTTCCTTGTGGCGGGAAAATGATGAAACTGGCACAAAGACATCAGTATACTGAACGAACGTACACCTTTTTGGTGCAGCATCGCTACATGTATGTTCAAACTATGGCCTTAAATACCTAGCTAAGTCTAAAGAGAAAATATACTTGCAAGGATCATATTTTGCACAGAGCAATTTATATGAAGATGATGGTTTGACCAGTGTAAAAATAGAAAAATAAGCTATATAACTTATACCGGATGTGCAGCTGCTTTTTGCAAATGATGGTCCTCGTCTGAATATATTCATATCAAATAAAAGGCGTCATTGACTCAATTCCATTTTCTGAACGAGCCACAGAGGTAAAAAAGTTAGATTCGGCATTCGAGGTTCTACAAATTGAAAGTGCGCTTGGTGTCAAAATGACTACTATTGACAATGTATTCAACATTCAGAAAATTGTTAAAATACCCTACCTTCTAGACACAACTTGCTGTTAATTGTGGCTTTGATATTTGATCCACTTTGGTTTTTCTCGCCATTTGTATTTACACTGAAGCATATACTTCAAGAATTGTGCCAAACTGAGTTGGTTAGGACGACATACTCTCAAAGGACAGGAAGCCTGAATGGGATTGATGGTTTGAGGAATTGACGAATTTAAATTGTGTCAATATTCCATGGTATATCAGTCCACATTTTCCGGGAGCCATTTTAGTATTGAGTTGCATCTTTTTTCAGATGCTAGCTGCAACAGGTATGGCCATTGTACCTATATAATATTCGTAGAAAAACATCAGTCCACTGTGCATTTCTGATGGGAATGACAAGGGTTGCGCCTTTAAAGGTCACCACCATACCTCGTCTTGAAATAACAGCGGCTGTACTTTCTGTCAAGACAAGTTTATTCTTAAAAGAAGAATTAGATCTTCCATTTGCCAGAGAGGTTTTTTGGTCCGACTCATGGGCAGTCATTGGCTATATTAAAAACAAATCAAGAAGGTTCCATATCTTTTTCGCCAATCGTATGCAGATAATCATTGAAGCAAGTTACGTTTTCAAATGGTTCTATTTGGAATACGGTAGCCGTTCAGCTGATCATGCACCTTGTGGCTTAACAGCACAGGAACTCATCTGTTCCTCTTGATTAAAGGGTCCAACTTTTCTTTGGTGAAAGGAGGTTCATGAAATTAGAAATTGGGCTAAAACTTGGAGATTTTGTTGTTTAAGCTGCCCTAACTCTGTACACACAAGGGAATCCTTTTCTTATCTTTTCTCTCTTTTTTCTTTTTTTATTAAATTGGCAAACCGTTGACTGTCACAGCTAGAATCATGAGATTAGCAAAGAATGTAAAGGTTGTTCATTCTCCATCAGTGGAAGAGAAAAGGTACTCGAAACTTGCGCTACTGTGACCCCTACAACAAAAGGCGTTTTAGAATGAATGTATCATTATGTGCTCATCAGATACTTTGCCACAAAGTAACAGGCTTTACACCTTTAGACTCATTCTTGTCGACGGCTTACTCTGGGTTTGGTGGGGGACTGAAAGAAGCAGATTTAGGGGACTTTGTCAAACATTTCGTGATACTAACAAAGGTTGAACACATCACAAGTCTTATTATCTCATACGTTCCCCTGGCAGTACAACATTTAAGAAGAAGCTTAACGTTACATCAACTTCGGACTGACATTTGAGGAGCAAGATGGTTTCGAACTTTATCCGTCAGTATATCATTTGCGGCAAACTAAAACGGCCTGCAGAAACGCAACGAATGGCAGACATTCCGAAGATCTAAAACAACCATCTCCACTTTTTGTCTGTTGTGGAATCAACGGGTTCTTGTTGAACAATTAGTTGGACTTTATGTTATTTGCCCCAAGCGCTTGTCATACTTGTGGTATTTGATAATGCCAAATACGTACTGTAAGAAATATCTTGATCGCTATTCTGATAAAACATCTTGGTCGACGGTTTTGATATGTCTTATTGACTGTGTATAATACTGTTGTTTTGATTGAAGTTTGCTTCTGATTACATGTATATCATTTTGAGATGTTTATATTTAGAAAGTAACATGATGTAAGATTTAATGTGTCAGAACTGAGACTTGATATTGTTTGTTTGATCATTTTATGATTTTTTGTATTGTTTCAGTTCTTACGATTTTATGGTTATGGTGCAATAAGAACTGTCTTCTAGATGTCCTTGTTCTACAAACATTTAACAGGTCGATTCTGATGGACCAGATGCATTATTTAATACGTCTCTTTTACTAGTCGTTTTTAAAGTAAAGACATTTGAATCGAAAAATATGTCATAAAGATCAAAACGCAATAATAAATGTTCATGCACCAAGTTGTTAAACAATACATTGTTATTTGTACGCGCTTCGGTTCCTTACAGTACGTAAACAATATTTGGGCCGATGGAAGTTCAGGAAGGAAGTTTTGTTTCCATTGTTACTAAAATTGATATAGAGAACTTACTGACATCTTTATCCATTTAAAAGAAACCTCAGTGTCTTGAGATATACAGCCCGATATCGCTCTTACAGTCCCACTTATTGTATCTTCAAAAAGAAGAGGCTGATAGTCTGTAAATGCATTAAAAATTAATTAATTAATTAATTAATTATGAAAAAATACCATAATAATGTAAGAACATAATTGTTTGATCATGTTGTGTTATATTCTTAGTGCTAACAAGTATGCTTAGCCTGTCCCTATATATGAGAGAAAGAAAGACATTGGGCTAATTCCACAGAACATATTGTAATATATGCTTCCTGACACAACAATGAATATAATGTTTATTATGTGCATTACACATTTCAGAACATTCATACGAAAACTAGACACACATTAAATATATTGATTATGCTAACCTGTAACTTTTATAATTTCAGAATCGCTGTCAGTACCGTCTGAACAAATCAACTTTCTCCCGTTGTCTTCCTTGGTTATCTGTATAACTGTCAAATTGAAGATGCCCTGTCTATCGTATGTAAATCTGTACTGTCCTTCATAATCGGGGGTTAAAAAACAATTATTTTGTGAACATTTTACAATTGGTATAACATCGATTGCATTCATCCACGAAATGGCAAATCTTCTCTTCTTAAAGTTACAAGTAAGGGTAACATTTCTACCACATTCATATGACATCTCACCAGTCTGATTACCGAGTTTTTGTATAGAAATATTTCCGCCTGAAAATAAAAGAAAACAAATTCAAATCAACTTAAACGCTTTGAGAGTTTATCATTATTAGTTAAGAATAACTAAACGTATGAGGTTTGTGCACAAGAAATGAAATAATGAAACTTAACAGAAAATGACTGTTGTGCAATTTTCAATGTCTTAAACGATAGGTATATATGCTGTTTGAACTAAACTAAATCATATACATGGATCAATGAAGTAATGCTGTATGTGTTGTAAATAAAACTTCCATACACCCCAACTTAAACGTGTTCAGATCGAATATGACCATCAGAGGTAATATTTATTATATCATCCTGGGGTCATAAAATTAATACAAATCTTGGTATTCAGTACAGTACAAATTAATTTCACTTGAATACTTCTGCTAAAGTAACCATTAAGAGTCCATTTGTACCAATGTTGTTACAGGTTACACGTGTTTCTTTTGATTATATATGTGTTTTTATATAATTGAATTTTATGGTATAGCGGTAGATAATAAAATAAATAAGGTGAGAATGGCATAACAAGTTCTCGGGTTAACAATATCCATTATTGCCGTAACAGCCATGTGTTGTTTATGGTATATGCTTTAAGTGTGTTTTAACAAATACGAAAAGAAAAAAACATAAGACAAGGCTATGTTATCTTATATCGTTTTAAAACAAATATTTACATGTATCTTTAATGCTATTGTCAAAAGACAACGAAACAAAAAGTGTAAAACCTGTGTTATGTTTGTGTCAATCATAGTTCTGTTTATACGAATTTATTTAAGTTCGACTGTGATGGAATCTATACTCTTTTTTTAAAAAAAACTCCGTTTATGGAACCAATCAGTACAAAGCAATGAATTTAATTTCTTGCTCATGGAAACAAAGGCTTGCCCCCAACGGGGGTTGAATAGAGAAAAATAAAGATTCCCACAAGAAGAACACACAAAACGTCAAAACAGATAATGTTTCAGGCTCGGTTTGATTGAGTCTGTTCAAGTGCAAACTACTGTCCACGCCCACTAGCAACGGCTTAAACATTATTCAACATTTAATATGAAATGGTAAAATTTGGATGTTTGAAACATCCGCAGATGTGTTCATACGGCGGTTATCAGAGAATCTTCAATGAGACACGTTACTGCCATTCCATGAAAAGTGGCGTATAGTCCCCAAGTAAAAGAATGTGTGTGCCCTAAACGAGAAAACAATGGGCAGAACTAAACGAAATTGAAATCTGAAAGGGGATCAGAGGACCCGCGCGTGTAAATAATAGAAAACGTAATAACATGCCAAACGTGCCAAAATAACATTTTTATATCTGTGACACATCAGTGTCAATTATAGATAAGGGAACAAAAGTCATATATCCGTGACACGTGGTGTTTATAAATAGCAGAACAAATAGTCACATATCTTCACTGCGGATAATCAGGTGACCCAAATCGTACAATGGGCTAATTAAATGATGGTCTGAACGTTCGCTTAATACAGTAAAATTGAGGTAGGCATACAGTTAACGTTAAATCATTAGATTGGAAAAATGGAAAATACGCATTTGCTGTGAGCGCAATAATAGCATTTCTTTTAATATTTAAATTATTTGAACAAAGCAGTCAGAGTAACGAAACAAATCACCAAATGCATTGCATATGTGAATGGTGAAGTGTATAATACAACAAATTTGATTGATCTCGAAAACCATCCCAAATATATCAGCATAAAAGATCAAATTGGAAACAAAAATAACACCCGACTTTTTCCTCAAAGATCAGATGCATGGTTTGAAACAAGAAAAAAGCGCGAATAACCGGCAGTACAATTTACTCTGCGATAGGTGGCAAAGGATTAGGAAAACAAAAGGATCATTTTGACAAACACATCGGTAATATTTCTGATAAAGACCCATCACAAACAGCAAAACTGGCTATTGAGCATTGTTCTCGTAATGAGGTCAATGCGGTTGCCACAATACTTCGCAAGGTTTTGCCTGTGCTTGAAGCCAGTCTTTGTTTTTGTGAGGAAGGATTTGTACAAGTGCAGTACATGGATCAACAATGCTTTCTTGTAGTCTCTTCAGATTGTAGTCTCCGTGGGGACAATACATTGTCTGAAACAGAAGTTTTAAACACAGACTATCTGTTATTTGTAAGCTGAACAGAAGCCGAAACCTTCGTTTACAAAGTGTACAGAGACGCTGATTTGTTCAAAAAGGCTCTTGCATTAGCTATTGCTTTTTACGCAAATGATAAACCAAAACGTCCAACAAAATAATCGCCCGAACAAAAAGCCCTCAAGGAAGAGATAACAAAAACTATTAAAGCAATTCAAATCATAGGCAGATTTACATCATGTACTGTAGGCGTTCAAGAAAATACAACTGTCACAAGCGGTGCCCAAAAGAAAATTACAATTAAAGATGTGAAAACTCTTCTGATGGACATAAATAATCGAAGAAAGAAAGCGACCGAAGCGGTAGTGTTTTTTATAGCTGATTTAGATCAAAGCTGGAAAGTTGAGTTGACAAAATTCGGGCAGCTCCTGTAGCATGGTTGACGGTCGTACAATGAGACGCATCGCAGAATACGTACATACGGAGTGACATATGAAAGGGATTCATATACCATGTGTGTCATTTGATGGGCAGTGTCATAACATGATGACTCGAGCAATCAATGGTACTCCTCTTACTGTTCACCAACTCACAAAGATATATGGAAATCTGTTGAAAAATTAAGTAAAACAGACATTGTGACAAAAATTACTTGTTTCATTTTTCGCCTTTTCCCAACAGTATTTCAGTCATATAGGCGGGTAGTTTCCTAACCATCGTTCCTGAAGAGTTACAACAGTACTAGACTACCTTCCTCCGTGCTAAACTACCAAAGCATCTCCCGGGGATCTAACCCACGGGAGATGCTTTGGTACTTAACAAAACGTCAACATAAAGTGGCAGAGAGAAAAGATTGAAGATTATGTGACAAAGAAAACCAGGAATGTGATTGTTGTTACATCTGGTGGTAAACGATTCCCAAAGCTGCCAAAGAATCTACCAAAACCTACGTATGAAGAAAAGGCAAATCTTGTATAAAAACCTGTTACACTAGGTGATGTGATGCCTGAGACAGTTCAGGAATCGTGGGAACTTGATGCAATGTGTTGGCAATGACTGAAGTAGAATCAGGCATAGAAAAAGATGCTTTTTCTGCCAATGTAAGCGAAACAGAATGGGCGTTGGAAATGTTGTTAATGAACAAGTGGAAAATTCGGAAAATGTAATTGAACTTGATAAAAATCTGAAGAACCAGGAATGTCTGTCAGATATACATGTAAATAGTCAGAAACTAATTAATTTGAATGATTTAGAAGGTATTTTGCGCTTATTGCAAACGACCGGCACCTGTAATAAATCAGGTAAATGGGAGGCAATTTAAGAGAATACTTTAAATCACAAGACTCTCTAGTTGCTCTTCTTGATTCTGAGATAAGAATTATCTTAAGATATCTTAAACAAAAAAACTTGTTAAAGGAACGAAAGAGTCTGATCCCAAAGGCGTCAAAATACGTGAGATATCACAAGCATTAGAAATTCCAGGTGACTCATTGAAGACAATGGCCAAACAAAAGCGTTCCAAGACCTATAAAGTAAAGTCTTTGAAAGAACTAGCCACTCGGGTTATAACGAAGTTTCGGAAGGAACATTTGAATGTGATATCGGCCGAATTTGAATGGCCTGATAATAACAATAGTTGGCAAATGCTGATGTCACAAGTTACAGGAGATGATACTAAATATGAATGGTTTTATCATCCAGAATATAGCATTGAACGAAACCAGTATGAAGTCAGATGTATAGATGCAACACATCTTCTAACTAGGGCAAGAAGGAAAAGTTGTCATGGGAGCGTAGATGGCCTCTCAAATGAAGCCTGGTGTAAAGTTGCTAAATCTTAAAAGACACTTTTAACACCAATTATGGTTTCAGAGGTAACCGACCCTATGTCAGATGCAATGGCAAAAACACATTTTTTCGAAACAAGTAGAAAATGAGATGAAAAAGAATGGTAATGAAGAAAGTGCAGCATTATGTCATGACATCAGGGCTTGGTTGGAAGCTGAAGATAAGCCGGGAATAAGTGCACGAGAGAGATTTCAACTTCGCTAGTCTCTCCGTACCAAACTTCTTAGTAGAAAATCTTTAGCGAGTTTCCACCTGCAACATATTACGTCAGAGGTTGGCCTATACAACTCTGGGAAGGGATTATAGCTTGTATCGATGCAAAGTGCTTGCTGTATGCCTTAACAACAACAGAAACATATAAGCAAAGAGCATTCAGTAGCATGATTGGTGAAACACTCTTTTCAGAAGTTTCTCTACACGACAAGAGAGGACAAGGTACTCTCACGTCAAAGGAGTTTGGTAGCCATATTGGAAACACGCTAGAGCAAATGCAAACGAGGATGGACCCAGACAGGTTCTCCTTTTCAAATGCTTTGCAATTACAAACAGTATATCACTTTACATGGTTTCTAAAACTGTACTGATGACTTTCTTAACAAAGGCGATTTTTTTTCTCTTATTAAAAATGTTACATGTTTCTTTAATACTTTTTTATAGAGAATGTTTTTCCTAGTTTAATCTATATTATTTAAATACAAGTACTTGTTCCATTTAAGACAATTATTCTTTAAACTTTTATATAAATTTTGTTTTGATAGGCCATTTTTGTACTGCACCAGCAAAAAGGCTGTTTACGAGAAAATAGACAAGACTGACAAAGAGATAGACAAGCAAGACCTCAAACATTCGAAACCTGGTCGATCGATTCCTTCAAACGTTAAGTTTAAGTAAGCCACATCATAAACACTTTCTGCAACAGATAAAACAATCAATAACTACTGCCACTAAGAAAATCACCTTATTAGTACCACTGTAATATATATCGATTTAAGCTTTATAACAATCACTTTTACAAATAAACTACCACCGCTGACACGACTACTACCAATAC